CAGCCATTTCAAAGTCATTTAAATCTCTTTTTTTCCTCATTCTAATGCTCAATCTAAAGTCTTGAGTATGTCTGCATGCCTAAATGAATTTAGCTGCTGCCATTACTGCTGATTCAATAGCTGAATGGGTGTTCCTAATAAAATGGTCGTTAAGTTTAAACATATTAGTGTTTATATTGATGCAGGCTCATAATAAGCATGAAAGCTTCAAATAATGAGTTCTGACTTAACAGTCAGGTAAAAACTGGTTTAAAGACACAGGGATGAGACAGGATGAACTGATTAATGTTATTGTGAACTGTGACTCATGCCAAGCTTGATCGTGGCTCAAGAGTTGGGAGTTCGCCTTGGTTGCCGGTTGCCGGTTGCCGGTTCGATCCCCGGCTTGGACAGTCTCGGTCATTGTGTCCTTGGGCAAGACACTTCACCTGTTGCCTACTGATGGTGGTCAGAGGGCCAGTGTCTGGCAGCCTCGCCTCTGTCAGTGCGCCCCAGGGTGGCTGTGGCTACAATGTAGCTTGCCATCACCAGTGTGTGAATGGGTGGATGACTGGATATGTAAAGTGCTTTGGGGTCCTTAGGGACTAGTAAAGCGCTATATAAATACAGGCCATTTTACTCTGATAAAGTCATGGAATAAACGAAGCAGGAAATTAGCAGAACAGGTCGCTTTTAAAACAAATCTCCCCAAAACTGGGACTTATATCTGCTTCAGAGTCTAATGGCTTCACTGCTATCACCTCCCATATCTACATATATCTGGACTGGATCTGGACCTGAGCCCTAACTGCTGTAAGGAATTAAGTAACATTACTGAAAGCACACAAATAAGCTACTAAATGGACCTGTTTGAGATTTTTTTTTTGTTATTGTTATTGTGGTTTCCAGGGAAACTCAGTTATATTACTGTTAGATGTTACCAGGTTATAACGAAAAATAGATTACCGAGCTACAGGGAAATTGCACATTATTTATCCTCTTTAATATGTTATTCTTGAAGCTTCAGGAAGCTTAGATAGATTAAACTGCAGTGAAAGCACATGAGTAATAGCAAGAGAAAACAAATTTACATGACATTAATGTTTGGATTAAAAGTAAGCATCCAGCTGAGCACTGGATAACTCTAGAACAAGCGGTATTTATGTAGCTCTGACAAAGGCCATCGTTATGCCGTATGCTGATGGAAAATCTAACCGATCCCTTGTTTGTATGAATCACAACAGTCAGGAGAGGATTTAAAACACCAAGAAAAACAGTTTAAAAAACTGAAATTGACCACAGGATGAGCAGATTACATAGTAAACTTTAGGTTTGTTCTATCAACTGAGGAAAGTGAGAGTTCAGGGTTATTTGCTGGAGTGAAACATTGAGAAAGTAACTCTAATAAAGTGGCACTAAGGATGTAAGAACGGGATCATCTCTCTCAGGAATGCATTGAAAGGGCTTTTCCAGAGCATGTGTGAGGTCATCTATACGTGCCACTGAGTAACACCTAGCGTACCAATCACATTTCTTTCTTTTGTGCCCTTTATTTTTTCCCAGACAGGAACAACGG